GAATGTCTAATTACACTAATCTAACACACTTGCAACAGACTTCTACAGGGGGCCAGGGCTCTATTTTAGGTTCCAACTAAGACACAAGACTCGACACAGCTTTGCTGTAGCATTTCACTTCGCTGCCTTACGTGGAATTGTGCATTAGTCGCTTTTTGCTGCCTGAGACCAGCTTTGACCCATATAAGCACTTGTGATTCTCAAGTTTAAGTAATGTACGTGGCGTGTAGCTTACGTGAGTTCCGAGCTTATGTGATACTTACGTGATGTGCATAAATTTCAGGTCGCTGGCAACGATTCGCAGGATTTACGTTGCATCATCGGGATCTGTTTGTAGTTCGCCAATGTTTGAAAAAATACGGTGCATGTGCGTATCGCCATACGGCGTCTGGATTGCCACAGCACATTCAAGGATGCTGCAGCTGTGGAAGGATGAGGAATGTATCTTTGTTCTTGATGTGGATGCTGCTTTTTCACAAAGGTTCATCATATTTGAGCTTACTTTTGCCCCGAATTAAAATCAGGCTGTGTTAACAAATTTATTTTCCGTGTCAGGGAATAAGATGCAAAAAGTCACCTTCGCGCAAAATTAAATAAAAAGTTATAGTGGGAAAGAGAAGGAAAAGGAGGAAAAAAGAAAAGGAAGATGAGAAATGAAAATCAGAAGCTTTTTTTAAATTATTTTAATGGTAGGAAATGTTCCGGTCCATTAATTCGTATACACTTCTTACAATTCCCACAACTGGACCTCGTTAGTACGACGATTTGAAGTCAGTGAAAGTTGATAGAATCAGACTTTGTTGAAAGTGTTCAGAATTTCTGATCTAGGCCGATGAGCTGGATAAGCTTCCTTCAGAGAAAAGGGTCGTTTACAAGTTACAGAAGACCAAGCGATGAGCGTACAATGGAGATAACATCGGTGATGTACTTACGGCAGCAGGTGTGGGTCGGCACAGTTGATGGCTATCTCTTCATTTACCGCATTGTCCCCAATCAGAGGCATTCGGCCGTAAAGCGTAGAAGTGCCTTAGCACGGTACATTTTTGTTTTTTTTTTACCAGCATTGTCTTTCATGGAAATATTTTTGATAATAATGAAACATTTTTATAATAATGAAAGTAAGTGCCTTAAATCTCTGGTATTATGATAATAACAAAAGTAGAAGTGATAATAGTAATGACGATAATAAAATGCCAGCAGTGATAATAAAAATGATGACAACAGTAATATAATGATAATATCGGCGATAATAACAACAACGGCACTGGCAAGTGATTACAAAAAATGACAAGGATATTAACAATGATAATGATCGTGATATTAATAATAATAACGATGATGACAATGATAATGATAATAACATTGCCTGAACTAGTTTTTAGTTATAGTAGCTTGCAGCTTTTTCAGTTGCTGTGACCAGTACAGTATCGTCTAATGGTCCGCCTGGTAGTGTTTCTAACATTCGTTTTGTCTTTCTCGTAGCCATTATGCCATTTTTGAATCTGCTAAAATTAAATTACGAAGAATTAAGCAAGTGGAGTAATCATCGGAGATCGCAGAGTATGGAATCGCTACTTAGTGCAGTGCAGACGGCAGTGTTTTTGCCAAGCAAAAGTGAAGTGCGTCAGGATGAATCGGCTAGCAAAAATGAGCATCGATTTGTTTCCAATTTTCCACGGAAAGCATCGCTTATGATTGATCGCAACTCCCGGAAATATAGTGGTAAGCTCATTTTGCTAGGCCACATCTCGATGAAATTCAATAAAATCAGCATGAAACAAAGTGAAAAATGGGACTGCAAATTTGACATCATAAAATCTGCCCTGGATTTTGCTCAGGAAAAGTTTTTTGAGTT